GGGAGGCTGAGGCAGGAGGATCACTTGAGCCCAGGAGCTTGAGGTTGCTGTGAGCTAGGCTGACGCCACGGCACTCACCCTAGCCTGGGCAAAGAGTGAGACTCTGTCTCAAAAAAAAAAAAAAGGAAAGTAACTCCAATTGGATAATTACAAAATGAGATGGAGGAAAGAATGCTGACTCTGAGAAGTCTGGTTTTGACACTCTGCTTTCGTGGAGGCTCTCGGTTTCCAATCAATCATTTATAACCGAAGACTCGGTTAACTTGCTCCAGAGAAAACGCTCCCACCTTAGATTAGGTTGTGCGCAAGGGTGCTTTACTGTCCCTCTGGAATCTGAAGTCCCTGGGCCTTGTTTGGGCAAACAGGACAAGCCCTGAGGTCTGCTTGGAGACAGCGAAGAAATAAGATCTAGACAAAGGGGAGGGGAGGGAGCCTGGACCTGGGGTTGACACCTGCAATGGGAAGTCTCCAGAGAAAACTGCAGTGCCCTATCATAAAGGGTCATCTCGAACACCAAATTCAAACATTTTTCCAACTTCACAGAAAGAAAAGACAGGCCATCAGACTGGCAACTAGCTCAGCAACTTCTCACTATCCGGGGGGGGAAAAATGCTAACACCCAGTTAATAATTTATCTTTTATTGAAATTGTTGAATAATTTATATTACAGTAAAGTTGATTGAAAAAAAAATGAAGAGAAAAATCAATTTTAAAAAATACACTCATGTTGAAATCAAATAAGCCAGCCAAACTGGTACAAACCAAGGGATTCTGTAGGGCAGTTTGCTTTTCAGTATATGAATACCATCGAGTCTATATACAATTCCATAATGTGAGAAAAGTCACTCATTAAACACTTTTAGAAGGGAGTGGACGGCCCGTGGGAGGACACCAGCACGGCCTGCCCTGTCCTTCCCTCCCGCGACACTGAGCGGCCGCCCCAGCCTCTCTCCGTGCACGAATCCAAGTGCAATGCCAGGGGCGAGATTCGGGCCCATCATTTTTCATGCAATTTCCGTAAGTCACACTGTGCAAATTAAGGCTTCTTATAGGTCGAATGGTTGATAAACATTTTTTTTCTTAAAAAAATAAGCACAGTAAAGGTGGCATCATGAGAACCTGAAGAGATGAGACCTATACCCCAAATCTGGAGAAAAGTTATTTTCTCTGACATCTAACTCCACTCTCACACACACAAAAATCAATCTTTGGGTGCGTTGTTTGAATTCACCAGCCGGTGAAAGAAATACTGACGAATGTGCTCTGTACACCTAGGGTTGAAGATGTCTTGCAAAGCTGCAGCTGTTCCTGACTAAAGGCATAGAACAGGAGAACCCTCCAAAACCTAGGCACTCGGGGACCCTGTGCACATATGTGTGTGTGCGCGCACATGCGTGTGTCCTTTAAGAAAGAGAAAGCAAAAGAGAAAAGACACAGAATGAGTATTCCAACTCAGGGGACACAGTAACCACCAGTTCGAAATTCCACCAGCGACGTCCCAGCACACTGACAGCCTCCCCTTCTCAGAATGGATGAACTGGTACATGACACCCCTGCCGGCAGGAAGAAACTGTTGCTGTTTTCTTTTTTCCTTTTTCTCAAACCTGAGTAATTGTCAAAGTCAATAAATAGGGGGAGAGAATAAAATGCTAAAATATAATGGTCAGATACCCTACAGGGCCTAAAGCAGCAAGGGTTTGTTTCAAATGCAGCCCTCTGTTCTGAGATGTGTCTGGCCTTAAGCTTGCAAATGAGGACTTGGGGCAAAACCCCGGGCATGAGGCACCGCCCTGTGGCCGACCGAGCCACGCCTTACTCCCGCGACTGTAAACACTCGTGAAGGAGCAGGGCCTGACCTCCCTCACCCTCTGCTCCAGCACAAAAACTCTTCCCTTTTGAGACAGTTTTTGTTAAAGGCAAAGTTATCGAAGCGTCGTCAAGTTGAAGTCTTATTTGGTTGGAGGTGCTTGGCTGTCCCGGCTCCACGTCCTGCAGGCACCGCGGAGTCAGATGTGTAAGAGGTCCTCGTCGCTGTCGTCATGGAAGGACACCAGCGTAGTGGACGCCGCCGCCTTCTGCTGTGCAGACTTGGGCTTCCCTCTTCTCGCCCTCTCTCCCGTCACCAGCCCCGCCCGGTCGTCCGCCTGCTCACCGAGCGCCTTCCCCTGTGGGTTTCTCGCTGGGTGGGAGCTTTCTGCCCCGCCTCCCCTACCCGAGTGAACTTTCACCTCTGGGATGGTCAGAACCTCGTCCTCGCTGTCCTGCTCGTCCCCGCGCAGGGAGCTGAGGGCCTCGGCTTTCACGGACTTGGTGGTGATGTGGCCGTTTTCCTGCCCTTCCTTCCCCGGCCTTGGAGTTGGCAGCTGGATCTCCTCCATCAGCCACTCCGTTTCATTCTCATCTGCCTCTTCTTCCTTGCTCACCTGCAAGGGATCAAGAGCAGAGACCATGTGAGCCCATCAAAGGCCCCTGTTCTGCTCCTCTGTTACCTCAGCCACGACCCACCCCAAGTCAAGGACCCTTTCCGCTGGCGCGAGTCGGGGAGCCAACCCACTGCCCACCAGAATCACCGCGTCTCTAGTTCCCAGGTCCCCACCGGTGGAAGGCAAGGGCTGGCAACCCCTGCTCACCCCAAAGCAGGAGGGCTGCTGGAGGGGTTAGCAGATGGGTGGCTTAGCAGGGGCCTCATGGCTAAGGGGCAGGGCCACACAGAACGTGCTCGGAACGGCCCAGACAGGGAGAGTGGGCCAATGATAGGCCAGCAGCACCGGCGGCAGAAGGAGCTCTCTGGGCTACTCATCGCTTGCAAGGTGCCCATTGGCAGGGAGGGGACACAGAGTATGTAGGGAAGACACAGAAGGGACTCGTACGAAAAAGTCTAGTTTCAGAAAGCAATTTGGCAATACCTATCGAGTGTCACCAACATATTTATGTCCTTTGACATAGAGAATATCTCTTTTCTAGAAATTAATCTGAAGGAAACCGTCCACACGCTAGATGCACAAACATCTTCATTACTCTGTTTTTTAAAGAATAACCGAAAAGTGGAAATAACCTAAATATTAAATACTCTAATGAAACCAATTGCAAATACAACGAGAGACACTTGAAGGACAAAAAGACAAAAAGACAAAAAGTGCGCAGGGGAAGCAGCGGAGGCCGTGGGTAACGTTTTCTTCCTCGCTGTCGAGTCGCCTGTGCCGCTGCTCTCAGCTGCACTGTCGCTGCTACGACGCGACAGCGCTGGAGGTGGGCAGGCGCGCACCCCGGAGACGCAGCAGAAATTACCTTTGAGTATTTGTAGGACACGTTTGAACTTCTTCTACAGCAATTGGTTAGTTTGCTCATCACCGTTTCCCTATAAAAGAGGAGCGAGTAAGCACTGCCAGGAGGAAGGAGCAGGACCAGGAACCCCACCCCGCCAGCCTCAACCCGGCGCTGGCACCATCCATAGAGTTTCGAACTGAGAACCTTGAGGCTTCTGCTGCTGCTGGGCTCAGAGAAAAGACAAACCCAAGCCCGAGATCTGAGCGTGCTGCACGTGCCCCGCCCCGACCCGAGGTGGGCCCGCCCGACCCCTCCTCACCTCCTTTCCTTCTTATACAGCAGGAGGCCCAGCAGGCAGCCGGTGAGCGCCACCAGAAGCAGGCTGAGGACTGCCCCGACGGCCTGGCTGCGCTCTGAGAGCCCCCTGGACCCCTGCCCGTTGTCCCCAGGATCCTCAGTGTCCCTGGAAGGAAGTCACAAGAAAGGACGCCATGTCAGTGAGTGGTACCACCACCACAGCCAAGCCCCTAAGAATGCCCAATGCAGAGAGCTCCGCCTGTACAAACCGCACGAGATTCTGACTTACTCCAACCTAGCGCAGCAAGATCCGCTCGACGTGGAAAAGAGCAACAAAAACCTTCTGAGGATGAGGCAGGGTGTTGGGAGACAGATTAGGAAACACTGCTTCACACTTCATGGGATGTTATCAACACTCAGGACATGAGGACAGACACAGCCCCTCCAGGGCTGGCCCACCCCGGTGGGGCAAAGGCCCTCCTAGAGCAAAACCTCCGAGAAGCCCGCGGGCCACACTCCTCTTCCGGTGCCAAACCGCTGTTCTCTCTGAATTTGTTCTGGGAAGAGGCAGTGAGCATGGCCCTGGCTTCCCTATTTCAGACACAGCCTCAACGCTCTGCAGGGGCTGAGGGAACCGCCACAGGACAACCCTGGGCCCCGCCGTGCCGTCTCTCCAAACCTGTTACGCCCCGGGAGTGGGCGAGGGGAAACACACCTGCTCTGTCATCAGGGAAGAGTTCGCAGTCCCCCACCCAGCACCGGCATTTATACTTAGCGGAAAACGCAATATATTTCCATGACATTAAACATTCAAGGAAAATTGTGAAAACAATACAAAATGCGAAACAACTGGACTGGCTTCCCTTTCTACTCAGAGGACATGTGTGTCATGACTCGACACTCCTCATCTCTCTGGCCTCTGTCATTTGTCACACGCACAGAAACAGAATCACGTAACAGAAATTCCTCCCCACCCAGAGAAGGCAGAGGACAGCGATGAGAAATAGAAATAGACGGGCTGCTCAGGATAAAAAGAGAGGCCACCTCAACCTGCCACACACGCGATGAAGTCGGATGCTGAGGCTGCTAGCTGTTCACCTAGAAAAGTACTTAATTAGGACGAGCTTGGCTCCAAACAATCGGGTCAGAGGGCAACTAACCAACCAGCAGCTTGGCCACGTGAGGGTCACTGAGTCAAAGTTCAGCTTAAGCCCAACAATCCTGTCCGAAACTCAGAAAGACGGGAAACAGCAGCACTGGGTGTTCGGTTCTACCCTGGCAGGCACTGCTGACCCTGCCCGGGTGGAAATACGCCCACGCGGCACACACATGCTTGCGGGCTCTGCAGATCTGCTCAAAGCCAGGAACCCACTGGCCCAGAACCAGCTTGGGCCACTGAGAAACACTTCGGATGTATCCCGAGAGACCCGCACCATCCTCCAGTTCTAAGTCTGTTTTAATTCCTACCCTTCATTTCTTCTTTGAACCATAGATTATTTAGAAACGTGTTTAAAGTTTCCAAATGTGCCTATATTTTTCAGCTGTTTGTTCTTGGTCCCTGGCTTAATCGCATCATGCATGTAGTTAATATGGCATCAACCTTTAGAAATTTGCCGAGACTTGGCCATTTCATGGTTAATTTTGACAAAATTTTGTAAAGGTTCCATGTGAGCTTGAGAGAACAGCATTCTCCAGTTGTTGGGAACACTGTCCTGTGTAGGTCTATTAAATCCAGCTTTTCCTTGTGTTGTCCCCATCTTGCAAAAAGCCTTCCTTTTTGTCTACTTGGCCCGGCAATCACTAAAAGATAGAGATTTGTCATTTTCTCCTACGTGTGGTTTGTCAATTTCTGCTTTACACACGGAAGCTTTCTTATTAGGCTGACCTAAGTTTAGAATTCTTGTATCTTCCTTGTAAATTGAGCCTTTTTAAAATTATAAGGACCCTCTTTATTCCTAACACTTTTTCCTAGTATCTTATTTTATCTGATTACTAACATGAGTACAGCTCTCTTTCACGGTACTTGCCTGGTGTATCTTTTCTTATCTTTTGAACTTTGGTCTTTTCTGTGTCCTAGTTTTAGGCATATTCCCTGTCAACAAAGCTGTTTTAAAAATCCAATTTGACAACTTCTCTTTCAGTTGGCAAGTTTAGTCCATTTATGTGTATCATGGTTATTGATACATTTAGATTTATTTCTACTACCTTAGGCTAGAATTTCTACTTGTCTAATTTTATTACGCTTTTTCCTTTTTGTCTTCTTTTGGGACTTAATTTTTTTTTTTTTTTTTTTGAGACAGAGTCTC